TAGCAGTTATCAACGTCTAAAGATTCATCGGCATCAATCATCTCCACTGCTTCTTGAAGAGAAAACCCATTTCTGAAACAAAAAATACGTTACAATTCTAAAAGTTCGTATTTTTGCTCCCATATGTTCCTAGCGTTATATATATGTAACACCAAAATAAAAGGCATAATTTACAAAACCAGATTAAAATTTCGAAAATTTATATTATCAATAAGAAAAGACATTAGTTTATTCTTAATTGAAAACACTTTAAACAAAATATAATAACAAAAAAAATAGTAAAATGTGTCTTGAATTTATGTTAAGAACATGGAGAACATTGTTTTATTGATTAATGTATGTGGAATGAATTATGGTGAAAAATTGTGTGGGTATTGGTAAGCAACCAACTATACATTAGAAGTGGCGTAAAATATAGATTCTAATAAAAGGCTCTTTATGTTTTTCAACATTTGGAACCTGGAAAATGGAAATTAGACATATGTGGGAAGTTGGATTCTCGAAACTTTATTGTTGATGGGTGAAATAGGAATTAATATATTTTTATATTAATTATTAATATTAAGTAAATACAATAAATTGCTTTTGTAATGTAATGTTCATGTAGTATTTAACTTATAAATTAAGCATAGAAGGCCCTGTATGTTAAAAACAACATTTGATACCTGGTAAATGTAAAACTTTTTAAGTTACAAGTTCATGAATATAAATAACTGGTTAGGTGTTAACGGATGAAGTTGGTTAGTTGTTTTTTGTGTGTTAACAACTATATGAGACTAACAAAAAATTGATGGTTGAGACGTGGTTTTGTAATATGATGATAATACATTACTCAACTTATAACTTCTAAATAAGAAAAGGTCTTATTTGTTATAACGCAACACTAGGTACATGAGAAATATAAAAAGTATAAGTTCATGAGCTTAAGGTGAGTAGATAAAGTTAATAGACTATTGATGTACATTGACAAGATGTGTAAGGAATACAAAAGTAAAATGGTTGTAGGTGGCTCTGTTAAATTTAAGTTAAAAAGTATATTGTAAGTTAAAAATGTGATGTTTTAAAAATAGTGAGAAGAGGAAAGACTCTACAAGAGGCTGAGGTCTCCAGAGATCCGAAACCAAACTCTGAGGGAACTATGTGGATAAGTAAAATAAGATCTAAATAGTTTAGGAGGGGGATGGCAAATAATCTACTCTGAATTTAGAGGTGATGAAAAGAAGCGTGGAAAACATTAGGTATAGGGGTTAGACTTGAAGTTTAAGTTGAATAGAAAGAAGTGGGGAAAGATGGAGAGTTTGATGTATTGAAAGAGAAGTTTTGAAGTGAACTAAGGAAGATGAATAGTTGACGAACGAATAATGATAAATGTAAATTTTGTAGTAGAAGTAAATTAAGGATGTGGGTTATGAGAATAGTTGGCGATGAAGTGGGAGGAAATCTCGATTGAATGAGACATGACGATTAACACAATTTGGACTTTTTTGTTTTTCTTTAATAATTTCAAGGTCTTCGTATAAGTCTAGTTTGAGAAAGTTTTTTTGGGGATTTTGTGGAAATGTGGATATTTTCAACCGAACGTTGGATGAGATTTCGAATATCTCCAGAAAGACTTTCGTGATGGTATGGGAGTGAAACGTAATTGATTTTGATGATAAGGTCTCTGGAAAATGCAGTCTCCTACAGGGTTTTAAGGCGTCTTCTATGGATGGGCATTATTGACTGCTATTTGTCTGAGAATGTTAAATTCTTTTTTGTAGTTTAAATGAGCGAGTGGAATGGTTCCTAGGCAATGGATGTAACTATGCAAAGCTGCGTATTTGTGTGACATGGGGTAGTTAGATGAGAACGGTATTACGTGGTCAGTCTGTGTGGGTTTGCTATAGATACTGAAGTGGAAGTAGTCATTTAATCGGGTAAAGGTGAGATCAAGAAAATTGATTGACATGGATGATTCTAGTTCCATGGTGAACTTGATATTGGGATAAATTTGGTTAATTTTAGAAAGTAATAGTTCAGCAGAATTGGAGTTACCTGAAATGAAGACTAAACAGTCGTTAACGTAGCGAAACCAATAGAGTATTTCAGAATTTTTCATGATCTGTGTGGATTCTAAATGATCCGTAAATACATCAACTAATAGAAGGGAGAGACAGCTCCCATGGCTAAACCATCAATTTGTCTATTGGCGACGTGCAAGTACTTGGAGGGGATGCGAGAAACGATCGTGCGCGAGTAGCGGAGAAATTTTGCATTTTTTAGTGCACATTTCATAGATTTCATAAATTCATATTGTCAATTGTCATATTTCATATTCGTTTTGTTTATTTACATTTACACCTTCTGTCTCTGAAGAAAATGGGATTTAGGAAATGCTGTGTTATAAATTGTAAAAATACAACAAAAAATTGTCAATTTAAGTTTTATTCGTTTCCAACTTCGAAGCACAAAGCTACTACAAAGAGAAAAGTGGATTTATATCATAAAAAGGCATAAGTAACATAACCCAAATTATGCATTATTCTTGCGCCCGATTTTAAAGTCAGTTTGAAATAAATAATAAATAAAAGTTCACTTTTAAGTGTAAATTTTAGTTTCATAACACTCACTTAGAGTTCATTTTAACCCAAAAATCAAGTTTAATGTTTAAATTTTATTATTTTGAAGTTTACAAGAATGCATCAAGTTCAAGTTTTTCTAAAGATGCATTAAGATATATTCGCTGTCCAAAAGTTTACAGGGAAAGAATTAATTGTTCAAACCAATATGATGATATCATGGGCTTAACCTGCTAATTTATGCATTAGCATTATTTATGGTAATTTATTTTTCTTAATTCTTCCATTATTTTTTGACATTTGCCACTACTAAAGCTTTTCCCTTTGACTCAGTGCTTGGTTGAAAAGTTATTTGGTGATTTACTTTCTCAAATCCAGTTTTTATTATTGAATCCATATTAACAGTAATGCTGTAATTCAATAATATATTTATTTGTATTTACGCTACATCAACGTTTACCTTTTAATAACATACCGACCGACATAACCTCAATCTTACTTTTTCTTCTTATTCTTTTTTGGGGCCACGTCCTTGACAGTTATCCGGTTACCTCGATCTAACATAAAAGCGCAGTAAATTTTGCTGATTTACGACACCAGCTGTCGCTGTTCCGAACTTGCACGGTCCCAATAGTATTTTTTGTTAAAAACAAAGAAATCTTGATCTAAGCAAAGTTGTAATAGTTGGATAATGGAGTTTGTGATGGATAAGGTAATGGAATTGGCTCTTAGAAGAGAATGAACCAGAATTGTTTCTTGTTTAGGGACAAAGCTGAATAGATTGCTAACATCAAATGAAAGCATACTAATGTTGGGGTGAAGATTAATATGTTGTAGGTTATTGACTACATGACGTAATTTTTACTGAGAATCGAGGAGTAAAGTTCGTCATGTTGTTAATAAGATTCAATATAAATTTTGATAAGATGGAAACTGTAGTGTTTATAAAACTAACAACTGGACGAATAGGAATGCCCTCCTTGTGTATCTTAGGTAAACCATACAGTCTGGGTGTCAAAGGGTTGCTTGGAATTTTGTAATATAATGCAAAATATTCTGAGAAGAAGTCTGTAAAATGTTTGATGTTTTCTTTTAATTTATTTATAAACTTTTTAGATTGGTCTATTGTAAGTAAAGTAAAGTTATTATTATTGAGGAAAGTAGAAACTTTATTATTGTATGAAGTTTGGTCTAAGATCACTAGGCAGATACCTTTGTCAGCTTTGCTGATAATTAAATTGTTGGATTTGATTTTGTTCTTGATAGATTAGAGACTATTTAGGTGTTCATTACGTTTGTTTTAAGAAAGTTTAGGAAAATTAGGTTTGAAATGAATATTTTGGTCGCTGGAAGAAAAGTTAATAGAAAAGGGGGTGTTGTTATTAAGTACTGTGGAAGAATTAAAAGAAGAATTTTTGTTTTTGAATTGGTTTATAGTATTAAAACAGGAGTTTCTGATTAAAGTTTTTTTATTTAAAGGAACAGGGAAATTTTGAACGATGATATCTAGCTTAATAGAGAGACTCTAAAGGTCTTTTTCAGAGGCCTTGCGAGGAATGGAGTATTTGAGGCTTAGATGTAGTAGGTGATGTTCATTATTGTCGAAGGTAACTGAAGAGAGATTTTTTAGTCTTGGGTGAAAAAAAATTAGAGAATTTGCTGTTGGTATTACTGTTACTATTTGATGAATTAGATTTAGTTTTAATAAGATTGTTTAATTTTGATGTAAGTCTGTTGAATTTGATAAAAGTTACATTGTCCAATCTGCCCTGAACATTATTCAAAAAGTTATTTAAGTTATCAAAGCCCATGAAATCAAGTAAAGAGATATACGTTACCTTAAGTTTACAATATATGTAGTTAAGCTTGCTATAATGTTTACAAATCTCTTTTTTTTTAATTTTAAGTTGGAAGGGGTACTAAAGTGTCCTAAAAAGTATATAACCACTTTAATTAAAAAGAACGTAAAAATTTAAGTATAGTAATGTGTTTTCATCATATTACAAAACCACGTCTCAATCATAAATTTTTTGTTCGTCTCATATAGTTGTTAACACACAAAAAACAACTAACCAATTTCATCCGTTAACACCTAACCAGTTATTTATGTTCATGAACTTGTAACTTAAAAAGTTTTACATTTACCAGCTACTAAATGTTGTTTTTAACATACAGGGCCTTATATGCTTAATTTTTAAGTTAAATACTACATGAAGATTACATTACAAAAGCATTGTTTTGTATTTACTTAATAGCACTTTCAAATATAAAAATATATTAATTCCTATTTTAACCATCAACTATAAAGTGTCAAGAATACAATTTCTCACTTAGTCTAATTTCGCATACAAATCTTATATAACCACACTATTATGTATCTTACTAATTGAATCATAAAATTAGTAAAATTTTGTGTATAAAATTTGTTTGATCCCGTTTTAGGTATGCCTCCAAACAACGAGCACACAATTACAGCCCCACTGCCAGAAAATGATTTGAGATTATTGATACACGAAGCTTATGGAGAAGATGACAGTACTGCTATGTTGACACAAGAATTATTATCCTATTTAGCTATGTTTATTAGGACTGAACCGCAGCTGTTTTTGGAGATGTTAAGATTACGAGTTGGACTTATCATCCAGGTATGTGACCCACAGAATTAGCGTGTGAGGGTAACATTAAAATTACTAAAATATATTGTATTATAATTATGTAAACGTGCGTTACACTTATGTATTTATTTTGTTTCGACTTCACTCAGCCATTAACTGGATGATTAGGAATTATGACATCGTGATTCTTAAACAAGTTTTTATTATTTTTTATGTTCACAAATAACGTTCACTTTCAACAGTAGTTATAAGCGTTCACAAATTTTTTTAATAATAAAGTTTAGTGTATGATTATATCTACAAATAATTTTACTCTAAAATTTCTAATATATTTAAAACATCATAATAAGGCGTTACTTCTTAGCTCTATGCATTTTGTATTAAAATTTCATCCCATTTTACTAATGGAACTGCCATTTGTAGACTTCATTATCAAGAGTAAAATAGATACTGAAAGGACTACTAGACCGTACTTAATGTCTCGAGGGTAGATTTAGTTAGCTAGAGGTAGCATTAAAGCTATTCAGAATTTTAAGATTATACGTGATGGTTTAAAAAATAATACATCATTTTAAAAGATTTGAATACACGAAAATTCAACATTTTTATGTGTAGCGAATATAGAGTGCTTATGGTTATGGTAGATCGGGGCAGGGAGTATTTGTCAGCCCTTTAGACACTTAGACTTCCTAGAATATAGGGTGATTTTTCGTTAAATGTATTTTTTATCTTAAAAACACTGTTCCAAACTAGGTATACTTGGTGTAAAGTAAACATTTGCCGAAGAATGAAAAACGATAGAAAATAAGGTATTTCTGGTATATCGGTAGATGGATTACCGAATCTGTAGCTCTACCGAAAAATCGGTTGAGTTGGCATTACAGGGAGTGAGTTCTAACTCTTTCTTTCAGTGAAGAATATTAAAACCACAGTTTTCTTTAACACTTTACGCTGTTTTTCTGTATTACGTATTTCGAATTTGATCATTACTTTAATATGATCTAACCATTCAAATTTTACAATCTTCTTCTTCAAATGCCATCTCCGCGGTGGAGGTCGGCAATCATCATACCTATTCGGACTTTTGAGACGGCCGCTCTGAAAAGTTCATTTGATGTACATCCGTACCACTCTCTCAGGTTGCGCAGCCATGACATTCTACGCCTCCCTATGTTTCTCTTTCCTTGGAGCTTTCCCTGCATAATCAGTTGGAGCAAGGTGTATTTCTCTCCGCGTGTAATATGTCCGAGATATTCTAATGTTTTTATTGTATTTAAAGTTTCCATGTCTTTATTCATCCTTCTCAGAACCTCTTTTTTTGTGACGTGTTCTGTCCACGATAGTTTCAGAATTCTTCTTTACACTCACAGCTCGAATGATTTCAGTTTTTATTGATGTTGCATTCAAGGTTCAAGATTTCATTCCATAAAATAAAGTTGAAAAAACATAGCACCTCGTCAACCTAACTCTTAGTTGCAGTTTTAAATCCCATGTACATAGCACTCTTCTCATTTTGTTGAAATTTGCTCTACCTTTTTCTATTCTGATTTTGATTTCCTTAATGTAATCATTTGTGGAGTTTATCATTATTTCCAGATATGCATATTTGTCCACTTGTTCGACGTTGGTTCCGTTTATTAGAAGATTCTCGTTATTTCTTTGAGTTTTCGATATTCTCATAAATTTCGTCTTCTTGTCATTCATTGTTAGACCATACTCTTTTCTATATTCTGCTATTCTGGTCACCAGTCTCTGAAGATCTTCAATGTTTTCGGCTAATGTCACAGTGTCCTCCGCATATTTAATGTTGTTAATGGGAACTCCATTTACCTTTATTCCAGCTGTTTCACCCTCAAGAGCGTTTTTCTGGACCTCTTCGGAGTAGGCATTAAAAAGAATTGGCGACAATACGCATCTCTGTCTCACTCCACATCTAATTTCAATTTCTTCTGACAGCTGTTCGTTAACACGTATTTTTGCTTACTGTTTATAGTATAAATTTGATATGATCCTGAGGTCGTTGTAGTCAATCTTCTTTAATTTCAGGACATTTATTAATTTTATATGTCGTACTTTATCGAATGCTTTATTATAGTCAATAAAACATGCGTATATATCTTGATTGACGTCCAGGCATCTTTGTATCAGTATATTAAGTGAAAAAAGAGCTTCGCGCGTTCCTAGGCCTTTGCGAAAACCAAATTGTGTATCACTAACGTCTATGTCGAGTTTGTGATATATTCGGTTATGGAAGACTTTAAGTAGTAACTTTAGCATATGAGACATCAAGCTAATGGTGCGGTAATCGCTGCATTCTCTTTCGTTTTTTTTTTAGGGAGACAAATAAAAATCGATGTTAACCACTCTTTGGGTAATACGCATGAACTATAAATTTGGTTCAAGAGTGTCACTAAAACATCAATGTGCTTCTCATCTAGAATTTTTAGAATTTCTATAGGAAGCATGTCACGTCCAGGGCTTTTCCCACTCTTCATTATTTTTAATGCGTGTAATATTTGTTCTTTTGTAATATATGGACCTATTTCTTCTGACGTAAGTTCTATGTGCTCCAGATCTCCTCTTTCATCGTCAAACAATTCGTCGATATATTCTGCTCATCTTTGTACTTTCTCATCCGTATGTATTATAGTAGTCCCGTGTCTATCCAGAATTGCACGAGTGGGATTTTGTTTTCTTAGTCCTGCCAGTTCTTTAACTTTCTTGTGTAGGTTAAACAGATCATATTTATTTTGAAGGTCTTCGATCTCTTTGCATTTCTCTTCAAAGTATTTTTCTTTTGCCTGCTTTATCATCTTCCTGATCTCGTGGTTTATCTCTCTGTATTTATTCTTCATTTCTCCTTGCGGAAGTCTTTAGTATTTCTTTACAGGGTTCCAGTAGACAATGTTTTAGTCGATCCCAGTACTCGTCAATATCATTGGTGTTTGTGTTCAATTTGCTGCAGTTTACATGCAGTTCATGTTGGAGGCATTCTTTTACTTTAGGTTCTTTAAGTTTCTTGTGTCTATTGTAGGGATTCTTTTATGTCTTTTAATATTTTTAAGGGTGAGTGTAATCTTGGCGATAAGTGGATTGTGATCTGAGGCCATGTCTGATCCAGGATATACTTTCACGGCTTTAACAGCATTACGGTATCTTTCATTGATCATAATGTTGTCTATCTGCTTCCTGACTACTTTCTCAGATGTATCTGCGGGTGATCGCTGATCGCCATGTATACAGTCATCTGTTTGGTAACTTGAAAAATGTGTTTGTAATAATAAAGTTCTGCTCTTGACAGAATTGTAACAGACGGTCTCCTCTCTCGTTTCGATTTCTCAGTTTATGGGCGTGACTGGAAATAAATCACAGCATTGTTGCATCACTGTTTATTTAGCAGTTTATTGTTGAGGATTAAAATGATTTTTACGTGTATTTGAAAAATAATTTTGCGGGATATCGTGGACCCAATGACCCAATTTTAGAACCGCCGGTGCTATATTGTAAACAGTTTTCATTATATCTTGATCTCTATGAGTAAATGTATTTTTTGTACCACCTAATATTTGAATATGATTTCTAGCACATATCCCCCGCTCCGGGCTCAGATATATAAACCATTGGATTGCAATACGAAGTTCGACCTTATGCCTTTTTGTGTACTAAAAATGTGATATGAGATAACAAAAAAAGGAAATTTAGAGTTGAAGTAGGGTGCGTTTTTTTGAAAATCGAAGTTTTCTAAAATGGTATACGGGAGAAAAATTTTTTACAAAGGAAGAATTTCTTTCATTTTGCGTAAAAATCAGTTTTTACGCAAATGGAAACTTGGTGATGTCCTCAAAATACAAAAATATTAATATTTTCTTCCCACTTGCAGGTCATGGCTACTGAACTTTCAAGAACTCTTATATGTGATGGTGATGAAGCATCAGAACATCTTCTCAATTTAAGTCCATTCGAAATGAAAAATTTGCTACATCACATTATCAGCGGAAAAGAATTTGCGATTAGTAGTGGTAAGTTTCAAGTTATTCAAACAAAAATATTTAAATGGTAACTATATATATATATATATATATATATATATATATATATATATATATATATATATATATATATATATACCCGGTATTTAGGCGGCACACGCCCTTCCGGTAGGGATCTATGGAGGAGTATCACCGAGACACAAGCCCTTATCTCTTGCCGTACTGCTCCCCCATAGGCCGATCAGACACCAGCATATTCTAGTCTAAGCCGCAGATTCATTTAGAATTTTAAACTGCTGCGTTAACCTTTTTGTTTTCTGTACACCGAGCTGGGGATCGAACTCACATTCGCTGAACCAGTCGCAGTGAAGCGAATGAGAATCCGGCCGCCCAGCCCGCTTCGCTATCTGGCCGACTAAATGGTATCTAATTTCTTCAACTTTTATTTGTTTTTTTATGATTTAACTCCACTGTTGGTTCTTACTATTACTTAATATTTTCCTAATATTAAGGTGTAAATGCCTTATTGGTTTTGAGTTCGAATACAGCAGCTTATGTCATTATTGATAACACACACTGATTAATAACTAGGTTCTACATCTAATTTTTTTAAAGCCCCTTTGCCATTTTTAACTATTGCAATCTGGTCAACTCTGTCATTTGTGAAGGTAGCAGTAACGTTTTGTTCTAACTCTGGAATATCATATTTGATAGAGTGTACAGTACTGGACCTAATATGATCCCTTGTGGCACTACGACACTAACATTTCACAAATATGTCTGCATTTTCCCTTTATTTTAAAGTCATCATCATCATCATTGGTGCTACAGCCCTATAAAACAGCCTCGACCTTCCCAAGTCTATTACGCCAGTCAGTTCTATCCATTGCCAACTGTTGCCAGTTTGTTGCGCCTATTTTTCTACCATCCTCATCTACAGCATCCCTCCATCTGAGTTTTGGCCTACCCCTACTTCTACTTCCCACAGGTTGTGACATAAGGATCCTTCTAGGAGGGTTGTTCTGCTGTAATCTTGCCAGATATCCTGCCCATCTTAGTCTTCCTATTTTTATAAGAGATCCTACGTCTTTACCACCAAATATATATTTATATCTATGATATATCTCATAGTTGTACCTCCTTCTACAAACACCATTTTCACAGATGCCACCGAATATTCTTCTCAGGATTCTTCTTTCAAATATAAGCAGGAGGTTTTCATCTGCCTTGGAAATGGTCCATGTCTCCGATTCATATGTCAACACTGGTTGTATAAGGGTTTTGTATATGATCATTTTTGTTTTTTGACTTAAGTTTCTGCTTCTCATATGTCTACTCAATCCAAAATAGCATTTGTTTGCTAGGATTATTCTTCGCTTGATTTCTTCCGTCATGACGTTCTCCTTGGTGATCATTTAACTATTTTTAACTATTGCAATCTGGTCAACTCTGTCATTTGTGAAGGTAGCAGTACGATAGCAGTTTTGTTCTAACTCTGGAATGTCACGTTTGATAAAGTGTACAGTTCTGGACCTAATATGATTTCTTGTGGCACTCCGAACATTTCACAAATATGTCTGCATTTCCCCTTTATTTTAAAGTCATCATCATAATTGGTGCTACAGCCCTATAAAGAAGCCCTATTTTTAAAGTATCTGTCTGAAATTTATTATTTTAAAATTTCTGTCTACTTTTAAAGTAAGAATATTTTTTATTTGTAGTTGAAACTTTCATGTCAAAAACTTTATTAAAAGCTTGGTCTACATATAAGAAGATAGTAGAGGAGTTTTTATTATTTTCTTAAGATTTTTCCATTATATCCATTACTGTAGTGGAACAAGAATTAAACTCACTTCTATTTATACTTTTATTTATTTCTTTTTACAATATATTTATTACATTCTGTACAATACAGCTTAGACTAGACCCGAAAATAATATCCGATCTTTATGTACCTATTGAATAGCCTTTGAGATGTTGCTGAGCACCACAAGACACTCACAATATGATTCAGAAAACAACACAACTCAACAGTGCTTGTATACGTTAAAACAACAAATTTTCTTTTATTCGGGCCTACTAAAGAAGTTTAAAGATATTAGCAACCAGAAATGCGACAGTACTTTTTTTTGGCATTTTGAAAAGGCGTTTCATAGGATACTTAATTCCACTCTAATAAGTAACAATAAATCAAAGAAGAAATGCATGAGTTCTGGGGAAATCAACTCTTCGCACCAACTGCTATTAATACTAATGATGGATGTAGTGAATATACAACGAACAACTGTCAACACTACAGTACTACTGCCTACGAACCTTTACTACTGAATAAGTGTCAAGTCTTATCAAAGAGCTTCATAACTGGAAAACTACAGAACAAGATGGAATTCAAACTTATGAATTAAGATGCGTTCTGGAGTATTTTTAAGTGCTTATCAATACTAGTTAACTATGTTATTTCTGATCCGCAGGAAATACCATATTTCCTAACTCAGGAAACAACTTCTGTAATTCCTTAAGAAGGATCAAAATTCCACCCAAGATCCAGTCAAATACTGCACAATTACTTGTGTTGCAACTTTGTTTAAATTGGTCACATCCATGTACACCTACTCATTGCCACCAACACTGTACTCTAGATAATATCATAGAGCCTCAAGTGAAAGGATACGCTAAGAGTTTGTGGACTGCAAAAAATATCTCATAATCGGCTCATCGCCTTTGTCAAAAACGATGTTTGAATAATTCAAACAAATGAATTTAGCACTGGCTCAGACTTTAGCATCATATTTAACAATACTATACCTAGTGACAAAGCGTGATCATATGTTGTATGTGGATGATATGAAATTAATGGCTACCAGTCGAAAACATCTAGGTCAGATGCTAAAGCTGTAGAAAAATTTCTCTAACGATATTAGAATTCACTTCGTACTAGCATCAGAGAATATAGTCAGAGAAAAAGTTTAGTCCGGAAGATTCGATATGCAAAATGTCCAAAAGATCGGTGTTAACTTCAGAGTTTATATGAAGGGTGAAAAGTTGCTTCGTTCGCTTCTCAACAGTAAAAAATTTTTAATACACTAAACACATACACATGTACCGCGCTTAGTTCATTTGGTATTACTTAGTGGACGAATATAGAAAATATTCAGCTAAAAGTACGATCACACCCCATAAAGACTCGTAGTGCATAGAAAGAACGACATTACTGCGGAATTAAGTGGGAAGAGGACTTATGGATAAAGCTAAACAATTAGGATAACAGATTGCTGATTGTAGAAATAATTTTCTAATTCAACTTCTAAATAAATTAGAAGCAGGGTTAGAAATCTACTTTACATCTCGTGATTTGCACAATAGATAATGCAACACCGCTTAAACTGAGAGGGCCAGAAATGCGCATAAACCACCTTTTTAAAGACGAAAAATGTGCATGAAGATGGGTAAACCTCTACATGGACAACACCCCAATGAAGTCAGTCAAGAAATGTCGACAGCACAGTCCCTAACTATTTGTCGACATCGGGAAGATGTTCCCGATGTCGACCTGAAACAAAACTGCTCGCTCTTCAGGATCAGATTTAAGCAACCACAAATTACCTTAAATATATCGTCAAAGACGGTCAGATCCAAATCGACAAATCCGATATGGTTGTCAAGCTCAAGAAACTATCCAGCTCTTGCCGGAGGCTACCAGGCATTTGCTGCAACTAAATATAAGGAACGGCATGGCTCAGTAGGAAAGGTACTTCATCAAGAGATAGCTAACAATCTGGGACTTCTCCAAATTAACCGTTATTATCAATACATTACTTACAGTATGTTTGAGAATGACAACTATGAGTTGTCAGCAACAACACTAGTTGATATGGCAATACCAAACAACAATAATCTGCGTGTTAACTATAACAGAAAGATCGCCAAGTACATAGATCTGGAAATTTAAATACGGGGATGACGGAGAATAGAAAGTACCCAGACGATACTTATTATTCTTTCTACTACTGGAGTCATTCTGAAAAACCTCCTAAAAAACGTAAAAAAGCTGGGTCTGAGTGGACATCTATGTAAGATCATACAGAATGCTATACTATTCTCGACGTCCAGATGTTTACGAAAACTTTTGGGAAATACCCCAGCATATTAAGTCACTTAATGCTTGATAACACGGAAACAGCTGCACCCGAGCTATCCTTTTGATAGCGTAGGTATCTGTGATGGATGAATTTTTCGCTTAGGAGTGAGAGCCGCGTAATTTAACTCTGATCTAATAGTACCGACTAATAATTTCTCCATCCTTACTTATATATTAATTAAATATAATACTGGTACATTTTTTTTTTCAGTTGGAAGAGGCAATTTTTCAATTGTTACCAATAAATCTAGCCGTATTAGTAAGGTAAGTAAATCATTTCTACATTTAAGCTGTTTTCGAATGTTGTTACTAATTGTTATGTTTTTTTAGAAAAGTCACATTAGTTTGGCGAATGACCCCTCAGAGGACATTGTAGAACCAGATCGACAAGGACAGTGGTTGAGACGAAGAAGACTGGATGGTGCTCTTAACAGAGTTCCTAGAGATTTTTATTCGAGAGTGTGGTCTATACTCGAAAAGGTATATATAACATTATTAAATTATAAAAAACAAACTTTTCTAATTTCAAAGCTATATTCATGAAAATATTTAAATAAAAAATTGTTCTTGTAAAATAAGTATATATATGAAAATTTTTGGGGCTTGTTTGCAAACTAAAAAAGTTATTATGAATGTGTACAAGGAATCTAAATTCCTGTAGTGCTGTATGACATGTATCACAAAAAATTTATTTAAAAATTCCCTTGTAAAAGGTATAATAATACAAAAAACCCTATCGGGCTACACCACAGAACGTTTTCGGAATAACTATTCCATCATCAGTGCTATCTGGATGTACATTTTTGATAATTAAAATTTAGGACGTGTAAGTTACGATAGGAATTGATTACATGGCAACGTAAGACTCCACTGTGGTTGCTAGTCCTTAGACGAAGTGTCTGTGATGACTTGTTGATAGCAACTGTGGCCTGGAGCTTTCTGTCTCCCATCGTACTCTGTGTGGAGTTGTCTATCTCCTATCAGACGCGTTCCCAGGTGGTGGATAGTGGAACGCCCTAACCGGTCATAGGGCCGGTAGTAGAACCGCGAACCAAAACGGACTAAGGTATGGCAACCCTGACAGAAGAGTCCCAGGCCAAAAACATGTTACTCAGTAACCTTTTAAATAATATAACGTTAATTATTGTTATACCAGACTTGAGTTGCCTAATATCCTCTTTATTGCAAACGCATGTACTGGGAACTTTGAGAGCAAATCTTAGAGGTAATTCCAAATTGGTATTATAAAATGGCACGATAAGCGTGTCATGCTCATTCTGATGCACATACGAGCATACCGACAGTTCCAAAACTATTGAGATTTACAGAGCCTGTAAATAAACCAGATACCCTAATAGAGTATAATGCTGGAAAATATTTAATCGATTAATCTGACTAGATGTCCAGTTATAATTCTGCTTTGCGTCGTTCATTGAAGGGGTATCGAAAGATAGCCATAACAATTCTTCAATACGAACATTAGAGTCAATAACTTTCCTGAGCTAATTGTTGAAAGCTTACTGAAAGGAATTTTAAAATCAAACAACATGGTTTTCGCCTACAGCAACCAATTAGGAGGAAGAGTGAAAAATCATAAATTAGGTACTAAATAAAGTACCTAATAATACTAAAATTAAATACAAATAAATTAGCCGATAATACGGCTGATGCCGTATCAATTATTTAGAGCAACAGCTTCAAAGATACGAATAGCAATGATGATTGCCAAACTCCGTGGCGGAGAGAGCACTTGAAGAAGAAGAAGACGGCTGATGCCAAACATTGGAGGCCCAAGAAGCACCAAAATAAAGGTTTTTAATGAGTTTTTTAAAGCTTTTAAAAGAGTTTTCCAGTCAGTGGTAACCTACGCTGCCCCTGTGTACTAAAGTGTACTAAACACTGCGAAATACGCCAAGCTGATGGAGACTTCGCAAAGGCGAATGCTCCTCAGGGTATCTAGCGCATATAGGACAGTTTAAAATGAGGCTCTATATGTCATTGGAGCAGTGATACCGATCGATTTGTTGTGTAAAGAGCGAGCTAGGATGTATGCGAGGAGGATGGATGTAAATAGAGATAAAGAGCGATAGTAGAGTGGCAGAGAGAATGGGCGAATGATAGTGGAAAGGTAAGGTGGACCAAGAAGCTTATTCCCGATCTGAGACCGTGGGGGGAATGTGAGTTCAGGAAACTAAACTACTTCCTGACGCAGTTTCTGACCGGACATGGTAGTTTTGGCACCTTCACAAATAGAATAGGCAAATCTGCCTCAGCAAACTGTACTGCTTGTGGGGTACCGGACGCTCCCGCCTACATTTTTAACTGCCAGAGATGGGGATGTTGAGAGGAGAGAAAGAATTGGGAGAAGTACACTGTCTGATTTCTGTGGTGATGAAGAAAAAGGAGCAGGAGGACAGAGGAGGAAATTGAGCCAGGGATCTGAAATTTATGGTTAATATTATTTATTAGTTTATGGCCTATGAAACATTTTCTGATTTATGGTAATAGGTATGGCTATTTATAAATTTTTAGTGTTTTATTTTAGTTGTTTATTGAGTGGCATGTAGACCATAACACTGTAGCACCAAAAAACTATATTGGGATCAAATGGCGTCTATCAAAATAGACAATCGTCTGACAGCAGAATTGCCAATAAAAAGAGGAGTTCGTCAGGGCTCTGTACTTTCTCCACTGTTATTTAACATATATTCCGAAAAGATCTTTCAAAATTTCAAAAAGTTTACAACGACCTTTGAATGTCATAACCAGAGAGGGAGATAGCTTGGGACTAAATATAAACACAGATAAAATAAAAGTAATGGTTGTTACACGTGTACCAAATGTCGACATTAATATTCGTATCTATAACAAACATATAGAACAAACGATCTTGACCACGAGGTCGAAATACGTGCTCGTATAGAATATGCTAGGTCCGCATTTCAACGAATGAAAAAATTACTAATAAATTCTACGTTATCGTTGGATATCCGATACCAATTTGTAAAAACGTTTATTTATTCCATATTGCTATACGGAGTGGAGAGATGAACTCTCGGAATTACAAGTATGAGGCGTATAGAAGCCTTTGAGATGTGGGTTTTTCGAAGGATGCTAAAGATCTCTTGAACAGAGCACGTGACCAACAACGAGGTGCTAAGAAGAATGGGTACTGAGAGAGAACTCCTAAATATTATAAAAATCAGAAAAACGAGTTATCTAGGACATATTTACAGAGGATATATATACAGAGGAGAAAAATACAACTTCCTACGACTTATAATGGAATGGAAAGTGGAAGGAAGAAGAGGTCCAGGAAGAAGAAAATGTTCCTGGTTGAAGAATGTAAGAGACTAGACAGATATGGACACACATTCGATACGAAGAACAGCTCAAGATAGTGAGCAATTTGCTGTACTTATAGCCAACCTTCAGCAATGGAGAAGGTACCTTAAGAAGTTTGAGTGCCAATACCACCTTTCCCTATCTGGTAAATTGAGCCAGGGATCTGAAATTTATGGTTAATATTATTTATTAGTTTATGGCCTAACGTATGAAACATTTTCTGATTTAATAGGTATGGCTATTTATAAATTTTTAGTTTTTTATTTTAGTTGTTTATTGAGTGGCAATACCACCTCTCTAGAACGGTAGTTAAGGTTTTAGCCGGAACACGGTTAATCCGGCACTACCCTGGGGTCTTCTGGACTAGTATCCTACTCGGCAGAAAGATGCCAGGGTGTTCTTAGGTTCTTACTGGAATCTGGCAATACGGCAATTAAAAAAAGGTACTAAAGAAAGAAGGTAGCTTCTGGTATGAGGAAATACTGTAGAGGTTGCTATTTTTTATAGGAGAAGAAAATCAGAGCGGAAATAATACAAAGTCAAAATAGTTGTACGGACTACGAGACTAGCCCTTATTTTTGACTTTCTTGCTTCAACACAAACCATTTGAAAAAGTAATATAAAACATTACCATATTTACTTATATTTTGTATTAATGAGAGTGATTAATTTGCAGAATTTCATTTAGTTATTGTTTTGTGTATACAAGGATGAATAAATTTCTATTTTCCATTAGGTCTGACTCTTAAGTTTTAACCTTGTTTAGGCTTGCGCCTCTTCAAGGGATGGGGGACTCCTTTTTTTTACGGGTTGTGAGGGGTGTGAGAAAAACGTCAATTGAACGAAACGCGAGCTAAGAAGTAGAGAATAAGGAAAAGAGGGAAGAGAAGGTGGTTTTTTTGTGTGATCGATAAGAATCGATAGAATGCAGAAGAAGAAGTTGGGATTGCCTAGCATGTAGTGTGAGGTACTTCAGGGGTTACCAGCCATACAGTAGGAACGGCTCTTTATCAGCGTTTTTGGTGCGCAGTTTATCTGCGATAATAGATGGGAAAAGATTCAAGAATATCAAAATACTCCTCAGGAAGTTCGAGTCCAGCGTTGTGTAGAAGTTTAGCTGGAGGGAATGGAACTTTTTTGGCAGGATGCCTGGTGAGTATTTGCCCTCTATGCGAACAAGGTGTCTTTAATGTTTGTTTTGCTCGGTTGTTCGAGCCAGCTATGGTTCTTAAGACATACTTCCTACTGAGGGTTAGGATTCTGTCCTTAATTGGCGTGATGTTGGTTAGTGCGTAAATGTGGGCTGATGGATACAGCCAATCTTTTCTCATGCAGAAGCCTAGGATTCTACGCTCGGTGGCAGTGATGGCGTTGAGTTCATGGTTCCTCAGAGAGAGGTAAACGCACGCCTTGTATTCGATTATCGGTCTGATAAAAGTCTTGTAGGTGTGCAACAATGTGTTAGAGGACGTTCCTTCTAGTTTACCGGCTAGCACTTTCAGGAGGTTGAGCCTTCTTCTCATCCTGTCGAGGGATTCGTGGACGTCAACCTTCCAATGGAGAGTTCTCGTAAAAAGAACTCCCAAGTAGAGAACTGAGTTTCTGAGAATAAGGTCCTCTCCCAAAAGTGTCGCCCGGCCCTGGAGGCCGCGTAAGGAGGTCTGAATAGAATTACTTGAGTTTTGGAGGGGTTTAAAGTGACCCTCCATTTGTTGCACTACCTCACGACTCTATCAAGGTAGGCTTGCGATTTTTCGAATACATACTGTCGTTCTCCTTCTCTGTATGAACCTGAGGTGAGAATGGCTGTATCGTCAGCGAATAGGAGTAGAGACTCTGATCCTTGCTGTGGGCGGGGGATGTCGCTATTTTAGACTGTGTATAATATTGGAGCAAGTATTGAGCCGGGGTACTCCTGCTTGTGGAGTGAATGGAGTGGAGAGATGTTCTCCTATTTTGATCCTAACCGTCCGATGGGAGAGATAGGAATTTATTAGTTTAACGAAAGGTGTTGGCAGTCCAGCAAGGTGGAGTTTCTCGATCAAGCCTGCGTGCCAGACCTGATCGAAAGCCTTCTGGACATCGAGGAATATGCCTACGACGTGCTTCCTTTCGTTAATGGATTGAGAAATGAA